TGAACAGCTGCAGCTGATCGTCCTGACACAGCATCGAGCAGGCTGTCTGTGACCGTTAGTCAGGTGGATTTGGGCTCTAAAGTATTCTCTGAGGACACCACGCACACACACACACGCACACACACACACGCACGCACACACACGCACACACACACACGCACACACACACACGCACACACACACGCACACACGCACACACACGCACACACACACACACACGCACACACACACACACACACAAAAGTTAGCCGTCTCTGCCTGGGGGCGCCCCCTCCCCCTGCCACAGCTCTCATTTAATTTAGGAGGGAAAAACAAGAAAACGTAAAAAAACCCACCAGGTGCTTCTCTCTACATCTGCTGTTATTTTACACCCTAGCCTGAATAAAGTTATGGTATCTGTTTATACCATGGATTTAGCAGCAAAGCTATTGCAGCATTACATTTACATAACACTAAAAAATAATGTTATTATCAAAAATAAAGACCTAGAAAGCAAACTGATCTGATTGCGCATATGAGGTATTAATATTTTCAGAGTCAAAATGGAGAGCGAATATAGCCGTGTTATTTTTTTTTCTTTTTAACTCCACACTACTGGATAGCTGTTGAATCTTGCTACATATTATGCCACCTATTTTGCTCCTCAGTATGCATTAATTTCATTTGCCTTTGGTAGTTCTTTTTTCTTCTTAAATCAGGGGCAATATAACTACAGGTTTTGAAAATAAGTGCATGCTCCTTTTACGTAAAATTTAAATTATCTATAGATGTATAGATAGGTACAAAACAAAATATATATATTTATATATATTTATATATGTATATTTTAAATATTTGCATGGTTCCACCTCTGTCTTAGTAAAGGGGAGGGAGGTCCAACAGGACGTACCACACCACCTAGTCAACAGAACAGGGAACTAAAAGTAGCCAGGGGCCTAACATACCATCCTGTGTGCGTGTGTGTTTGTGTGTGTGTTTAGTAAGATTTTGTGCCAAAGTGCAAATTCTAAGCTCATGGACTTTCGCATTTCAATTCCCCCACAAAGCTTCATCGTCGGGGGGAACACTAGACGATGAGTTCAGAGCTGTGTGCTGTGAAGAAAGTCCCATGTCTTTGATGGCATCACTTCTGCCTTTTTTTTAATCATGAGGTGTTTGTGGGATGCAGGGTGGATGGATGGGGCTTTGGGGAGGAGGGTTCCAGCGCTGTCCCGGGCTGCAGGAGGATTTTTGGGGGCAGGTTGGCGTGGGTTCACTGGGGAGGAGGGGCGGGGGGTTAGGCAGGGCTGGCTCTTGGACTCAACCAACTCCCTCAGCTCCAGCGGAAGGACACGTGTCGAGGGCGGTCGCCCCCTTCCTTCACCAGTGGCTTGTGAAACTCTCGGCCGGCCCGTGAGTGGATGCTGGCCCAGCAGTACTCGCAGTAGTACTGCAGGCAGGTGACGTTGGCACAGAAGAAGGGGGCGAACTTGCCCCCACAGCGTGCCCCCTGGCACTCGTCGCACATCTGGTCGTCCAAGACGTACGGCTTGACCTCCACCTGGCAAAAAAAAACCCAAAAAAACAAAACCGCATTTTAGGTTATCATATCCAAAAAACACAGATTGAAGTGGCGTACGCTCAGATTCATAAAAAATTCACTTCCTGTTCAAGTAAACAGTCTTTGAAACAAAGGGCTCAGTAATACTGTATTCACGGCGACTGCTGCCATAATCTGTCAGCCTCAACAATGTTTTAAAGAAAAAGAAACCAGCTAATGCAATCGTGTTCACTGTGAATGAGAACAGATATTTTTAGATATGAAATGACAGACAAATCAAGAAAACCTGATAAAACAGATCAGCTGCAGCTGCCTCCCCGTCAACGAGAAATGAGAAACGGAAGCCTGGTTCAGTGAAACTACCATGTCCTCTGGGTGTCATTGCATGATAATCAAAAAAATAGGGCTGCTATGAGTCACTGATGGATTTTAAGCAATCAATAAATAACTCCAGGCTACATCCACGATCCTTTCCACAGGTGTGGGGTCAAACAATTGGTACAGATCTACCATTGCCATTAAACAGTCTGCATCGATTCCCAGTATAAAAGATGGGTGTATCCATCATGGCATCTCCCACTGGTTCATGAAACATGAAACCACATGAGACTAATGAAAGGTGGATCAGTTAATTAATGTCGTGTTTTATTCAGTGATTCAGTAAAAGTAGTGATTGAGCCCATAAAGTCAGGAAAATGTTTACCAAGGTAACAGAGCAAAGATTCAAGGGCCTTTTAGCATAGACTGCCATACTATCAGGTCTTTTTGCAACCAAAGAAGGCGCCCTCTACTGGCCATTAAAAATAAAGTATGCGAGCTGCAGGTTTTTTTTCCATTTCCTCCAGTTTTTTGTTGTTGTTGTGTATATATGTGATTTGCACAGTAACTGTGCTAGAATAACAGCTGGTTTTCTCCAGATGTGTTGCCCATTTAAGTCATAGTCCAGAACCCCCGTTCATTGTGATCTGTTTGACAATTTCTAAAATAAAACAGGACAGGTATCCACCCATCCACCAATATAATGAGTTTGACCACGAAGCCAGGAGACAAGAAATGAGAGCTCAGTCACCATGGAGACGCCTCAGCATACAAGCAGGCAGAGGTGGATGTTAACCTTGTTATAGTGTGGCCACAAAATGAAAGGTTATCAAATCCTTCAGCAGTGGGAGACCGTGCTTAGCCAAACTCTGCAGCAGCTACAGTGGAATATCCACTGCTGAGAGCAACGAGCTCACGGAAGACAAAAAAACAAGAAAGCCAGAAAGAAACGGCCAAGCTGCCAGGCCATTAAACACCAATTTCATCTCTGTGGACACAGAGCTGACCAGAGGTAATTAGCTCACATGTGCTATCATCAAGAGCCATTTACAGTTAAGTGAGTCACAGACAATGAAGGCGAGAAGAAGGACGAAGAGAAAATGGCACCAGCTGGCATCCTAGTTTCTCACCACAACTGAACATGAATTTCAAGAATGCGCTCCACTGTTTGTGGTCTGCAGTGAATATAAATCCTTTCAAAACTCTTAATTCTTTCAACTTGAATCCTTTTGTTGCAGCCTAATGCCTAAAACAACAAAGCAAATGTAAGATGGACATCTATTTACCGCATAAAAGGAAGAAATTTTGCTAGGTATCTGGTTCAAAGACATGAAAATAAATATTTTGTTGTGTGAATGTTTTTGATGCTGTAAAGTGGTGTTTTCGGCAAACAGTCCAAGTCATAATAAAGACACCATAAACCCCCGACTGAAGATAGATGGTGATAGCTGAGGTGGGTTGGACAGCCCCGCCCTGCAGAGGCTCAGCTTCCTGGCTGACAACCAGTCTCCCTCGGTCACGATCTGTCCCGCTGCAATTGGCCGGCGTGCCTAAAATAACCACCCAGCAGCACAGCTCCAGTGAATATACATGTATAGGGAACTACTATAATTAAACCATCCCTATGTGTCGGGACTCAGCCAAAGGCCATAGTCATTACACATCCAGGCATGGCCTTTCGTTATTGTAGGCTATGTTGGGTAGCTGGCTGAAATCCCTGCTATAATGAAAGCTCTGATACATGGAGGACTCAAGCAGAGTTCAGCTCCACAGCTCGCCATAGGAATGACTGTGAAAACCTCACTTGTGGTCGAGACGCTGCTCTCTTTCAGAAGAGGGATCGCTGTGAACGAAGCTCACGAACTCACTCACCCTTTTGTCGATGTCATTGTGCTGCAGCTGAACGAAGCGAGCGCTGATGGCAGCGATGTAGCTCTGCTGATTGGAGAAGGCCACGCGGCCGGCTCCCTTTGGGTATTTGAGCTCTGGGTCCGTGTCGATGCCAGCATAGCAAACACCTCCGTACAGCCTGTCCATGATCATAGCCAGCTCCACTGCGGAGAAAGGAAGGGAAGAGAGGTGGGGGCGGGGAGAGAGATGATTAGTGCCGCAAACTCCTCTCGGGAGTTTCTGTGAGTTTGCAAGTTCTGAGTTTAGTTTGTTCTTCAAATTGAAAGCCTTCAGTTACGCTTGAAAAAGCGAAAGAAGTGTCCAACATAAAAATCTGCCCTGCTACACTACGCATCAGAGCAGCAGTCTCAACTCAAACTGCTGGTGTAATTAGCAGGGGGTCACATTGCAGACAAGCCAGCAATGTTTAGCCCAAGAAAAGAAAGACTGAGCCTTCCATTACACCATGAATTCTTAACGTGATGACCACTTGGCCTCCGTCCTGGAAACCCAAGTAGAGGATTGTTTTCTCACAGGAAGAACTTTCATTATAGCCTCCAGCCTCTGAGCTCCATGCCAGCCAATGTTATGAAGGCAATTTAGAGGCTCTGGGAGCTTTCTGGGGGAAAAAAAAAAAAAAAAGATGTCCTCTCATTCATATTTCTGACTTACCTGCACGCAGGGGCCGTGGCACCCCCCCAACAAAGATGGTCTTGCGGGGATCCAGAGGCTGGGAGCCATCCATGACAAAGTCACTGTCGCTCAGGTTCCAGGGACGGATCTGGACCTTTGTGTAAGAGAAAAATGAAATGTTCCCACTTAGAAGTCATTGTGTGGTAAGCTGGTTGTGCATTTGGTTTTAACTAGATAGCAGTGTGGTATCAATCAATTATGTTAACTATACATTAGTTTAATCCAGAGTAAATTAGAAAGATAGTAGCCCACAATCTTCTACAAATCAATGGTCCACAAACCTTGTCTCTCTCTCTATAGATATATACAGTGGGGCAAAAAAGTATTTAGTCAGCCACCGATTGTGCAAGTTCCCCCACCTAAAATGATGACAGAGGTCAGTAATTTGCAC